TCTTATGGAAATGGTTGAATAATGGCCGTATTTTTTTCCTTTGAATAATAGGAATAAAAAAAAATTTTTAAATAAAAAAAAAACCAATTTAATGTTTACCTTAAATCAGGAAGAATTGTTTTTTTTCTTTTTTATTTTAATGTTACACAATATAAAATTATGCAAAGAAATTACTTACAAATATTTTTTTTTTCGATTTTAAATAAACAGGATATTTATTTATTTCGATTAATTTGAATAGTCAAGGAGAAAAAGGAAAACAGAAAAAATAAATTCAATAACATCCTCTTAAATCGACAACGACGATGACCATTGCTTATTATGCTTGTTTGTTGGCTTTCTGTTTTTTCTGTTATTTCTTGTAATATATGCGCGCATACCTAGGAAATACTCGTATGTTATACATGATGGTACTTTATTATGGATATGTACAAGAACTCTAGAGGTACATACATACATACATACACATATTTATATTGTTAACAAGTATTCACATGTACAAATAATCAAAAACAATTGAAGATTAAAATATACGACCTAAAATGTAAATTATTTTTTCTAAAAATATACACAGAAAAAAAAAAAAAATTCAGAATTAAAATTCTATACGAAAAAATTTTTAGATCTTCGCACCACTCACTGTTTTTCATCATCAATATTTTTTTTTTTTGGTTTTTATAACTTGCTATGCGAATTTTACTGTTTTTCGGCTGTTATTTTTTTTTTCTGATTCTTCTTCTGTTTTTCATCTTTGATTCCTTTGAAATTTTATTTTTTTCTGATTTTTCTTTTTTTGTAGTGTACTTCTTTATTTTCTACTTTTGTTTAGCATTTTCTTCTTCTTTCTTTCTGTTTTTGTTTATTTTTTCTGTTTGCCTTTTTACCAACATATTTTTTCATGTAGTTACCTTTAACAAGCTTAAAATTGTTAAACAATTAGCAGGCTTGTTATTATTATTTAAATTTCCATGCAAAATGGGCATATCAATATTCCTATCAACAACTAGTTATAAATTTAATAAAAAAAAAAAAACCAAGAAAAATTAACAAAAATAAATTTTTAAGAAAGAAAGAGAAAAAAAATTATTTCGTTTAAAGAAAAAAAATAAGAGAGAGAGAAGAGAGAAAATATAATCAAACTAACTAAAGAACAAAAAAATAACAACAAGATTTGTATAAGACTTTTAAGTTAGTTAGTATTAAAAGTAAGAACAAATAAAAAGGAAAAAAAATATTGAATAAAATAAAATTGTTACCAGCACACAACACACAATACAACACAAACATTCAAAACATACGAACTTCATATAAGTACGAAGTAAAAACATAAAACAACGATACTGGTAGGTTACTCCGGTAGGTAAATAATTTTATTTGCACACACGCACACACACATAACAAACTTACGGGAAGGAAAATATTATTGTAAAAAAGAATTATTGAGGGAAAGCAAAGTAACAAAATAAACGCGAACCAGAGCGTTTAATACAAAAATTTCTACTTAGAGTTAAAAGTATATACAAAAAAAAACAAAAAAGACCATAGTAGATTTATTTAAAGGTAAATGAGAAAAAAAAAACACAACTCAAATTTAAAATAAGAAAAACCGAAACGAAAAATTAAATTTCAACCATCGGCGACACGAAGAATAATGTTGAAAAAATGAAAAGAAAAAATGAGAAAATAAAAAATTTATCTTACTCTTGTTTTTCTTTCAATTCATTTGTTTTTCTCTTATTTTTCATTTTTTGTTTGTTACTGTTATTATTTCTGTTATTTTTTGTTATTTTAAAGTAGTTATTCTGTTCGGTTTTTTTGTTTTCCATTCGTTAAATTTTCTCTCAATAACCAGCGATCATTGGAGCGCAATGTTAAAATAAAAAAAACTATTAAAAAAAAAAGTTTGTTTGTTCGTATGTATATAAATATTTTTTTTTTGTTTTTCTTGTTTTTTTTTTTTATTAAATTTAAAATTTTTATATTCCGTAATTTGAAATTGCATAAAACGCAAGTTGTTTGAAATGATAAAATTGTAAAAGTTGCGATTTTACAATATAAATCGAATAATTGAATTGTGAATGATGATTGTCAATGTGAGATTGTCAAAAAAAGTTCAGTTATAAATTTTATACAAACAATTGTCAAAATGACATAATGCTAACTGCAATTCGAATTTAGTTGTTGAATTGTATCCTGCATATTGTTGGACATTTTATATTGACATTCATTTCGGAATGTCAGAACGGTAATTTTTCAACACCTTATCACTTGCACTGCATTTTGGAATACCACTGTCCCGTATAAATAAGATTTACATTGGTGTGTAACACAATAATTTTCGGTATTTATTCGAATTTCTATTAAAGCTTATGAAAAACTGATTTTGGAAATTTTAAATGGAAACCCCATTAAAAATTGACATCTTTTTACAATTATACTAAATGAGATTAGATGTCACTCCCGTCGTACTAGCTACTATAGACACAAGAAATTTATGGAATATTATTTCCTTTAATCCAATAACTCTCCCTTTTTTAAATTCTAAAAGCAAATACAGTAGAAATCAGGTTTTTATCACAGTAGTACGAATGTTATCCTCCATAAAAATAAAAACAAAAAACATAAAAGTTTTCTTTCATGTCATTTTTTGATTTTTTCTTCTCATCATTTATCAATCATCGTACATGTGTGTACGTTGATCACATTTACATAATATATATAACAGTAATTATCACCACATTGTTTACAAAATACAACAAGTATTTTTTTCCGGTTACTTTGTTACAAAAAACTTGAAACAAACTGGCACCTTGCGGTTACTGCAGCAACATTCAAACAAATTTTTTTTTTTTTATAAACATACAATTTTTATGTGGTTCATTATTTTTTTTCGATTATTCCAGACCAAGGATCACCTGTTAATTTGATATTCTCCTGGATTTTAAACAAAAAAAAATTGCAGAACAAAACAATTTACTACCTATAAGTAATATTGAGTAAAAATGCCACCTACATCACCGGGATTATGTGTAATTTGATATTTCATATTCCAATATATACACGCATATATATGTCACATATTTGACATATTACACTAAATATAGTATTAGTATAATATTGATTAAAATGACGTATGGTCTAATACGTCATTTGTCATATAAAAAATATTGCTGTTTTTTTTTTTAGTAGACTTGTTGATTTTATTTGGAAATTTTACACAAAATTTTGTAAAAACCCAGAGTTTTTATATAAAATTTTATAAATTTTGGTGAAAAAATTGGCTATGTTTGATTTGATCTGTGCCACGGCATCTGCATCACATATGATATTTCAAAAGTATGCTTAGAGTTCTTAATAATAAAAAATTAAAGTACTCCGAATTTTTTTACAATACGCTGAAATTCACAATTACTCACATGCGTATTTGATACAAAAATTTTGATCACATGGCCGTCACAACCTTATGAATTAGAACATTTTTTTTTAAATTTTTATTCTAAAATTTTTGTATGTGTGTCGTTTGTTTTATTTTTTTTTCTGTTCTTGTAACTGCGGTTCATGTACAAAAACTTAACAACCGCGAATTGTGTTGTTGTTTTCATTTTTTCAATGTTGGTTATTTTTTTTTTGTTGTTGTTCGTCTATATCGCGATTCTACAGTTTTTACGTACATTTACAATTTATTTTACTTTAATTTTTTTTTTTTGTTCAATTTTATCAAATTTTCAAAGTTGTACTTTTTTTTCTTAAAATTTGCTTTTTCTTTTCTGGAATATGTTAAATTGAGTTGAATGTAAGCAATGGATCTTTTGTTACCGCGCTTCTCATATATGGATGAGAAATAAGTGACTATATTGAAATAAAAATAAAAGGGAAAAATTTTTGAAAGAAAAAAACAAAAATAAAATTGACAAAAGAAAAATTGTTACTTAAAATTTTTTATTTACCAAATTCTAAAGGGTTAAAAATTACAAAAAAGATCAAGGGAATTAAATTGTAAATTATTAATGAAATAAATTTTTCAGTTCATAAGTACTTATTTTGTAAGGGTATGAGAAATTTTATCAAAAAATTTTAAATGTAAAATTGTTTATTATTTCTAGGGGAAAATTTACCCAGAAGGTAATGGTGGTGAGTTTTAGCAAATTATACTGCAAAAGTTTGAAATATAGTAAAACTGAAACTTTAAATATTAATTGTGTAGTTTATTAATAAATTTTGAAAATTTTCAGTATTTCAGTACTTTGCACCCCATACTTTTTATATAAACAGATTGAAAAACATCGAAATTATTTGAAATATCGGTGAGAATTTCAAAATTCAATGATTGTTTTAAAAAAAAATGGTGGAAACATTTTGATCTCATGATGGAATTGATGAGAAGATCTCATATTTTGCAAAAATTATTGTTCTTTAGTAAGGTAATAAATCTTCGAAAACTGTCATAATTAAGTTTCACAGTAGAATTGTCATATTAATTCACAATAGAAAGAGTTCTAATCTTATACAGGTTGAAATATGAAATTTATACTTATAAATATAACAAAATTTTTAATAGAGGTGCATTTCCAAAATAATTGGCAATGTTTTCAAAAAATATAGCCAGTTTGTTGACAATATGTGCATAGCACATGGAAAAAAACTTGTGGAAAGATTCTGTAGCTATATAGATTAAAACTACTTCTTTTGCTGTTGCTACTACTACGATTTTGCTGTTGCTGTTATGAAGTGTAAACAAAAAATACAGGTCTTTATTATCTCCATCAATAACCAGTAAAAATTAAAATTTTCGGTAAAATTTAACTAAATTTTGTCAGTGCGGGATTGTCACTCCCTTTGCAGCGAACTGGGTAAGCTCTTAAAGAACTAACTGGCTAAACTGAGTGTAATACCAAACGTTCAGGGAGGCTTTAATCTTTCAAAACTCTGAATATAGCAAAATTACATCAAATGTTTACTAGTAATTGTAGGCCTATTGTAATGTATAGCAGTAAAATTACGACTCCAACAGGAATCTTCAACATTAACTGCAGTTCTTCCAGTATGATGTGAGTTTTCCGATGACATTTTGAAAATTTCATAAATAATTTTTAATTATAAATTCTTTTTTTACTGATCTTCCTGAAGAAGATTAATTTTGCGAGAATTTGAACTAAATACTTACAAAATAGAAAATCTAAAAGGATCTATGTTAGATCTACTGCATATAATAGAAAAATTAAAAATTTGAAAGCAATTTTCAATAACAAAATTAGAAATCTATTAAAATCTGGTAACAAACTCATAAAATATTTGTTTATTCATGCACATTATTGTATGCACAATGCGTAAATTTTTATTTCCAAATATCAATTTGCCCGGTCACATACAACCCGATTTATCCAAATAATTTTCGAAAACACGTATTAAAAAATATCTTTGAATTAACCTACATAAACATTACAATTATTTATTTAGTATTTCTAATCGTTTGCACAAAATTTTAACACCTTCTCTCTTAAAATAAACATTTATAAAGTACCTATACAATATATGGAATTTACCCGAAAAAAAAATTTTTTTATTTCCGCGTAAATTTGAATCAATTTAAAAAAAATACAAAAAGAAAAATAAAAAATAATTTTATATGGTGTTTTTTCTATTTCTATACTATTTTTGTTTCGAATCAAAAAGAACCTTTACTTACAATATTCTTCTATATCAAATTTAATTTCAATAGAATTTTCATTTAGATTCACTTTTTATGCCATTTATTGTGTACCTCACATATTCAACTTACATACTTATTTATTCTTCTATCTTAAGAGAATCTATTTGTTCCTATATACATAAGTAGTTTGTTATACAGTGTACTTCTTCTTAAAGATACACAATATAACTTTTATTAGAGTAGAATTTTTATTCTGAAAATAACAAAAAAAAAAAAATAGTGTTACCACAATTTATTATAAATCGTTAACATACGTGATATTTCAAAAATAATAGAGAAAAAGAATGAAAAATTGAAGTGTGAGGGCGAAACGAAGAAGAAGAAGATGAAAAACATTAAAAGATAATATTATGCTAAGAAAATAAGTATAGTATAAGAACACAAAAACAACAACTTAAAAATAAATACATGTATACAAAAACTAGACTTATGCGAGTTTTTAAAAAAAAAAAATTCTATTTTACATACTTATACATAAGAATTCCAAACAAAATTTTAAAAGTTATTCATTGCAAACATTTTATCAAAAAAAAAAAAATTAGCTAACATCCAACTAAGTTATTCAATTCGAATCAACTCGAAAAACTATAAGCAGCCAACCAACTAACCAAAACAAATCAACTTACTTACTAACTAACCAACAATCAAAAAACAACCGAGATATACACAACCGTATATTCTTGTAGCCAAATGTATACACAACAACTTGCATATTCAATATAATATTTATGTAAAAATTGTATGTACGTGCCTACATATTTACAATTTAAATTACGTAACCGCATATACAACAAAAATACATCGATATGTAAGAAAAAGACAAAACAACAAAAAAAAAAAGTACTGTTTTTTTTTTTGTTTTTTTTTTAACTATGCTTATCTATGTTAAGATGGAATAGAGATTAATAGTATGAACGAACGAATGAGCACTGCACAGGAAGAATACAAATTTGAATTCAAATTGCCGGCGAAATTTATGATCGTTGTAGGGAGTCGCAACTAAAAACGACACCATATAGATAAAGGTGTGAAGTTTAAAGAAAAACGCATTTTCAAAAATAATAAAAAAAAAAAACAGAAAAAAAAAATTTATTTATTTTTCGTACCTTTTATTTTATTTTATTTTTTTCTTTTATACAATTTATTTATTTATGCCTTTTATTTTATTCTTATTTTGTATATAAAAATAAAAAATAATAAAAATAAATATTTTTTCTCGCAACTTTTTCAGAAAAACAAAACACAATCAAATGCACAAAAATAATGATAAAATATAAGAGAAAAGAAAAAACATACAAACAAAATTTTTAAATAAAGTAAGTATAACAAAAATAAGAACAAAAACAGCAACAAAAAAAAAAAACGCTTACAATTTTATGGACATAATAGTTAGAAACACAAAATATAAAATTTAAATAACGACTGTGTTAAAAAAATTTTTATAACAATTTCAAAATTGTCCGAAATGACACTTAAAATTTTATTGAGCATTCCAATTAGCCCATCACTTACTAAAAGTACTTAAAATAGCAGTATTCGATTGAATTCTTGTTTGCAGTTCTGCACAGCAATCGAACTTCTAAAGCAGCGTTGCCAACAAAGCGCTAAACTGCTCTCTCTCTCTCTCTCTCTCTCTATAATGAATTCTTTAATAATTTGGGGCTATAAATATAAAACGAGAAAAAATTTGATGGTGTCAATTTTTTGCAGTTCTACCAATAAAAACAGAATGCTTTTCGTATAGTAACCTACAAAAACTTGTTGCCAATGCAGATCTTTGTTAGAACTGCAAACACGAATTCAACGTTTATCGAATAACTATTAAAAATAGAAATTTGTTTTGATTTTTGCCCCAAGTTTGTAACAATAGTACCATTGTAATGGTGTAAACGAATTTTGCTAATATTTAGCCAATCAGACTTTTTAAATATGGAGAAAGAAGTGTATACTATGAGGATAGTGATGACCTGCCGCGAATACAGAATGGATGATATGGAAGTTGATAAAGCAGTAGATAATATAGATAACTTTGAAGAACCAACCATGATGCATAGTAATGCAGTTGATTCATTAGTTAATTTAAAAAGTTTCGGTCTTCAACAAAATAATTTAGAAATGATAAATTAAATTTATAAATAGACATCTATGCAATGCATTATACGTATTTATCTATATGCAGCCTGGAGTGTACTTACATAACAATTAGTAATTTTAGTTTCCGTTATGTGCAATTTTCAAATGAAATAAATAAAAAATTTTTTTTTACTGTCACCAACATGTCAAAGGTTTGTCACGAACTTGTTTAAGACGTAAAAATGTCTTAGAAAGAATAGTTTTCTTTTGCCCCGTTTCATTCCATCTTAGGCAGGTATTACTGTACTCTCTTGACTTTATCTATAATTTGTTGTTTCATATTTAAATAAATGCAAATAGATTATACAATTCTTTATCATATAAAAATTTACGTTACGTTTCTTACGTTATTTACATACAGATATTTACCGTATTACGAATTCGAATAATAAAATTAAAATTTGTTAAAATATTTTTTCTCATTATTTTTAGAGTTCCACAAATACTAAATTTTCCGTAATTCAACAATTTAAATTTAAAAATTCCAAATCAAAAAACAAATTGGACTGACAGTAATTTGAGGAAAATCAAAAAATTAAATTTTGGTCAAAAAAAAAAAAAATTTTTTTTCTTAAAATTCCTTTGCAATAATCAAAAAAAGAAAAAGGAAAAGCAACAATTTTATCGCCATAAAAAAATGTGTGGTGTGTTATATGAGACTTCAGAAAAAAGAAAAACGACAAAAACAACGAAAACATTACTTCGTTGCGTTGCATTGCAGTTCGTTATTCCGCCAAATATTTTTAATAGATTTTGATTTTAATCAAACGAAACTACAATGAGGGACACATACAGGCAAGGAGAGAGACTGAGGGAGAAAAAAAATAATAATAATATTTGAATTAAAAATAATGACATATAAAAAAAAATAAAATTAAATTCGATAAAAAATAAAAGACACAAGTACTCCAGCCTTGAATGATTCATAAATTTTCTCACATTTTTACCTTTACTCCCCATTTTTATAACTTTTCGTTTTGTTGTTGTTGTTCTTATTTTCTTATGGCCTCATAAAAATATTTTCTAACCATTTTCTTACAATTGAAATGGTTTGATTTTTATGCTGGAATTTTGCCTATGTGTGTACTTATGTAGGTACATTATTGGTACCTTGTTATCATATATGCTTAACATTATAAGCTGCCCAACTTTATGTGGTCTCAAACAATAAGAGAGAGAGAGAGAGAACAAAAATGATTATTTCATAACTATAATAAAATTTTTGCAATATTCAAAAAGATTTTTAATGCAATTTTTTTTCTTTTTGATGAAAGTGTTGCAATAAGCAATTGTTGCAATAGAATATATATTTATTTATTGTTGTTTCCATAATAGAAACACTCATGTTTATACATATGTATATATGTACAGCCATTCTATATAGAAAATAGTTAATATTCAATTGGTTTTTATAACTATTTTAAATTGGAAAATGAGAAAAATTAGGACAGACCATTTACTTTTATTTTATTAATTTTTTTTTTCTATACTGCAGGAAAACAAGAAAATTAAATCACAGCAAAAATAAAGAAATATATGAAAAATATTTTAGTCGCAACTTTATAGGATAACAGCAACCGCTTCATAAAGATTTTGATAAGAATCTCAAAGGTCTTTTCTCTTTTTATTAGAAAATCATGAAATTTCAGTCTCAACTTGACAACCTTTCAATATTATGGTAGCGTTTTTTTAAATTTTCTTTTTGTTCCGACTTGATGTATATGTAGTATGGTAACTGAAGTGCAATATTTTATAATTGTACAAAAGTAACTTGACATTATTCTGAACAATACAACTTTTACTATTAACAGCCATAATCTACTCGTTAATATGAGTATTAAGCGTCCGCAGCGACATAAATGGCAAAAATGAAAATTTCAAATTAAAACAAACCGAAAAAGAAAACATTTGAAATGTCATATTTTAATGTCAAATATCAAACTTGAAATGTCTTCTTTGAACCGAATACGTTAAACAAAAAAGACACAATTAAAATTTAACGAATTGAACGAAAAATTTACATTTATTGTTGGCATAGATGTAAGATTAGAGCCGAACTTGTTCGTAAATTGGGAAATTTTATCGCCGTGTTAAAACAAGAACTTTATAATTCCTTTTATGGCGTCTTTATGGCTACAATTACTTTAGCTTTCCTATTCATCCTTTCTTCGTAAGGAACTACGAAGTATTTTAATGAACAAAATCATTTTGAACACAACACAAC